TCTTTTTTAAAAGACCAAATTTCCCATGGAAAATAAGCTTAAATACGCCAATAAGAAGAAACAAGATAATATATCTAAAAAATATGTTTTGAGGATTCAATTTTCTCTGCCTGTACTATAAAGAAATGGGTGTGAAGATAAACAAAATATTTCTTACCGTTTTAACACAAATTTTACATTTAATAATATTTGTCAAATATTAATAATCTATTCATCATATCATATCGGGCTTTTTCTGTCCACTGCTAAACATAAGCCTCCCCCTTGGGGGGTTTTACCAATAGTTGCTACGCTTTTAGGCTTTGGAGATGTTTTAAGAGACGCTGCTGCCCATCCCTCTCCCTCCTTTAGTCGTCTCTTACGACACCCACGGGATAGAAAGGGGTGGCCTATTTTATACCGGGACCACACGGACGTATTGTTAAGTTGTAATCAATTTTTAACATGAATTGTTCCGTATTAATCCCATTTTAATTTTGACGCGATTACCGCCGCCATATTTTTTTTTCTAAAAAGACTTTTAAATTATTAACTCATATTTTTTAAGTGTGATTACTACGAGTAGTATGTTTCGTCTTCACGAAAATTCTAATATGAAATTAATATTCCAATATACTCCATTAAATATTCAAATTGGTAGAGGTATTCATTGTTTTCATTGCTCGCATTGAAGGTCTTATAAAATATACATCGCTATTCATATGTTCGCGATTCCTATTTCGGAACCCTAACCGAGGGAGGCCTCAGTTATCTTAATATTGAATCTCTCTACATAGCTACTTATAGTTGGTGTTTGGTATTAGCCGTTAAAGAGGCTAATGTGTCCTCGTATAGTCGCTTCCGACCTCGTCACGACAATCTGCGAACGTGTAGATAATGACGTCATAAAACGCGTGGACATATTCTGTGCTCCGCAATATGATATTAACGGAAAATCGTTCAGTACACCTATTTATATAAGTATCTATTCATACATATTTTTTTTCGCTAATATTTACACTTATTTTTAATATAGCTGCAAATAAAGCCCAAACATATTTACCTTAAAAAGTATAACGAGAGTAACATATCATTCTTTCAAATCGAAACACAGCTATGCAAGCATTATTATTTAGCGGTAGAAATAAGAGTGGGACAGAAATACCCATACATATGAAGCACAAGAATTTTGCTCTATATTCATCAATGTATTCATATAAGATTTCCGTTATAAATAATATTTATTTGAATCTGTTTCAATATATAATTTTTTTATCATAAGAACTAACATTGAACGCCGTTTCTTAATACATATAAAGCTTGTCCTGAATGCGTTAAAAAAATACATCAGTTTGGATGTAGTGTAGAACGACCCCCACTAGTTGGAGTGACGATCTCAAATGCATTGCAGGGAGTCAGTGGATGCAGGTGACTCAGGACCTTTGCTTATGCATGCATGCTTAGGCAGTCTATAGGGAAGACTTATGTTCCGCAATGGGTAGAAAATAGCTGTGATAATAATGATAATGATGATCAGTGTGACCCTTCTCATCATTAGTTATTTACCCATGTGAAGCCATGCTTCAACTAGTGTAACATTATTTAATATTTTATTAAAAAGTCTTATATTATTACGACTAACATGCAAAATAACGTCACTCCCAAACGTTTAGAATACCTACTAGTACCTAATTAATTTCGCTAACACGCCATTTAATATACAGGGGTTGTAATGTAATTAGACTTATAACGAACTCATTAAACACGAACTTCGACGGAACACCTTCGTTAGAAGTTCAATATTGTAATTGGATCAGCTTTTTTGAGATAACTTCTTAGAGATCAAAACAAAATAATTTGTAGAAATAAATAAAATTTGGCAGAAGTACTAAAACAAAATGTTTTCACTCGTCACTGTCACGCTTTTACATCTTTATTAGTCACTTATATACTTGAATATTAAAAATATAATGGTGACTAGATCTCAATAAATAGATTTTAAAAACCTATTATTAATATCAACTTTTTGAGGTAACTTCTTAGAGATCAAAACAAAATAATTTGTAGAAATAAATAAAATTTGGCAGAAGTACTAAAACAAAATGTTTTCACTCGTCACTGTCACGCTTTTACATCTTTATTGGTCACTTATGTACTTGAATATTAAAAATATAATGGTGACTAGATCTCAATAAATAGATTTTAAAAACCTATTATTAATATCAACTTTTTGAGGTAACTTCTTAGAGATCAAAACAAATTAATTTGTAGAAATAAATAAAGTTTGGCATAAGTACTAAAACAAAATGTTTTCACTCGTCACTGTCACACTTTTGCATCTTTATTGGTCACTTATGTACTTGAATATTAAAAATATAATGGTGACTAGATCTCAATAGATAGATTTTAAAAACCTATTATTAATATTAACTTTTTGAGATAACTTCTTAGAGATCAAAACAAATTAATTTGTAGAAATAAATAAAGTTTGGCATAAGTACTAAAACAAAATGTTTTCACTCGTCACTGTCACACTTTTACATCTTTATTAGTCACTTATGTACTTTAATATTAAAGATATAATCATTACTAGATTTCAACAGATAATATTAATAGGTTTTGAAAATCTATACGCCAATACAATAGAGGATCATATAATATAATCCTCTATTGTGTTGGCGTACCACGCCTTTACTATAGACAACGTATAAGTAATTTACTTACTTAATATACCTTCAACTCCTCTATAACACAATTATCCCATCTACTCAATATGCCCGAACCGTTTGCCAAAACATTGTTCCAATTAAAATATCTAAACATAATAATATTGAGTCCAACGAAAGTTTATAACGTGGATGGATGAATGTTTGTTACTCTTTCATGCAAAAACTTAATATATGGGTAGGTTATATTCTAAGAAATAAGATAGTTTACATACTGATTCGCGCAGATAAAGCCACAGGATACGACTAATTATAAATATAATAACCGTATTAATAACCGTAATGTCAACACAAAGTTGAATGCTTGTTACTCTATAACGTGTAAAACTCTAAAAGGATTTAAACAAAATTTGGTACTTACGTGGATCATGTTCTGAATTAGTTTATTATAGGATACATTTTTTAAGCTTATAAAACAAAGCTAAGCTGTGGGATATAGCTATTATATATTTCATTATCTCAAATGACATTATGTTTATTCACTCTAAATTTACACAATTTTATTCATGGACTAATCAAAAATATCGATTCGTATCCAAAGAAAAGCTTGATCACCATAATATATTCTTCGAATAAAAGCCCCGTTCTCCAAATAATAGGTTTGACCCAAAATAATAGCTTCGTTCTCAGAATACAAAGAAGTAGATTTGTTATCAGACAAATCGATTACCCAACCACGTTGCGATTTGTTCCTTTTACATTTTGTTACCAATATGTGTCTCTTTATTTGCACTAATACAGTAAAAACATAATTTATGACAAGCTGTATTAGACATTCATAATAACTCATTAATATCTCACTAGTAAGTGATAGCCCATAAAATAACTAAAACTAACATCCTCTTCTGATGGGAAAAATGCATCCATATTCTTATAATATGGTACGATGCTAGATAGGCTTTCTGTTACTATGAGTTTTCCTTAATCTTTATCAATTTTTTAAAAACCTTTTAAAAACATCTATCTTGATCTATGGTCTTCATGTAACTGTTTATCACAATACAAAAGTAGATGTACGCAGCTGAAATATAACAGTAAACAAGCACTTCAGTTCAATCCTAACATGTTAATGTTAATCTCGATTAAAAAGAATCATCAAATTTACAAATGGTGATATCACATAACATATACATGAAAAAATACAGTTAAATTGAGAACTTCCATCCTAACCTAAATATATTCTTCAGCTAGAATCGAACTTGTTCGTCAAAGGTATTAGACATGCATACCGACCGCAGTGCATTTTCATTAACGCAACGGAGTGAACAGGTCAATACCTACTAGGACGATTATTATATATATATATATATATATATATATATATATATATATATATATATATATATATATATATAATATATATAAGAATCTTGTGTCACGGTGTTTGTGGTCGAACTCCTCTGAAACGAATCGACCAATCAACTCGACACCGACCAACAATCGACTATTTGATGGATATAATATATAGCACAATTTGCCAAGATTTTTAACGTATTATAACGTCATTAAAAAACTTTCGATAGCTATACATTTTTATTGACGCTCTTAAGATTAAAAATATTACTGAAGCACGCCTTTGGTAGCATAATTTACCACAGAAATGAATCTCTATAGAACAATATGAATATGAAACTACTACTATTTCGCTTTTGCTGCATAAAGTTTCTAAATGCATTACCATCAAATCCCAAACTTACAGTAATATATTCCTGTAGTTAACAATTTGGAGCGTTATGTTACGTAGCAGTATTTTTATAATCTACATAATTCATCCGGACATAATTATTATGCGTTTCATTTGCTACATAATGTATTACAACTGATATTAAAAATACTGTCAGTGTACAATATTCGCTAAATATTATATATATATACATAATATATATGTACATAAATTATTTATTTACTACTCTAGCATATATATACCACCTAAAAAAATTACATAAAAAAGCAAAAATGAGCATGAAGATTGTAATTGTCTATGTTTGTATTTGTAAATGTATGTATATATATGATATAAATTGGTCATGACTCAGTTTATTGCATTGCCCTTTTAAAGTTAAATTTTCTGCCATTACAAAAGCTAGCCAAGATTCCCACACAAAGCAATTAAGAATATCAACTTCTGAATGACAAAATAAAAGTAAAATAGCTATATTATCTTGACCACCTACGATTACGTATTGTATAAAGTTTAACTAGTGAATTATAAAATTTCAAAAAACCTTGATAAGTAGTTCCCATACATATCGTAAAAGCTGCAGACCAATACATCTTTTGGCAAAAATAAACAATGATTTTGGCGGTAAAGAGGATGGCATAAAACGTCAGTATCGACAAATGTGACACGTACCATAGAGAATATAGGAATATGTTTTGTTTTACCTGCAATATATATAATTGTTAGAAAACAGAATTACCAAAGTTATCATAAGTCCGAATGATAAACAATTATGCAGCAATGGACAAGAAGCAGCAACAAGTCGATCATATAAGTCAAAGAACCTATAGAAAAACAGTTCTCGAGTGATGATGTTGTATTGGCATGCCTCCTCTAGGTTCTTTATAGCAGTTTATGTGACATATCCATATTAAGTAATGAACCATACACAGCTGAAATAATAATGCTATAGAATTGTCAGTGAATTAAAATTTTACGTCTTCTACATCTACTTGTGTTATGCACATTTTTGTACCGAAGCCACAATGTTTCTAAAATTAATTTCCATAATTTATAATATAAACTGTGAGGCTAAAATCAACACTCTTCTGTTCTCTGTAATACAAAAAAGTTACTATTAGTATTTAAAATTAGTACCTTTAGAAACTGCCACAACAATAATGTGGATATTATTATCTGATAAAAAGATAAACTTGCATAGACTAAGGCAAAAATCATATTTATTGCCAAAACAGGATGTACATTGTAAGACTCCGATGCAGACGTCACTCGAGCCAAATATATGCATGAATATAGGAGCATTGTTGATGATACAATCTGTAAAATATGTTGATATGGAATGGGATGTACTGGTGGGAATACTGATACTTGAGGGGTATTTTATTCAAAATATGTCTGCATAGGTCTCTGTTTCACTTGTGTTTCTGTCTTTAAGAAGCCGTGCTTGTACTACACAGAGTACAATCTGCCGCAATATGTGCAGATGTGAAATGAATAAATGAAATAACGCATGAAATATATCACAAGGTGCCTCTCAGAACACTCTGTGATGCACATGATATCTCATGGCGTGTCCTGCTTTAAGCCAGTAAAGCCAAGAATATCAGTTGAAGTATCATTCTAAGATAGTATTGATTGGTGAGATCAAGGAACTCGGACCAATCTAGATATCAATCATGAATTATGTTCAGAATTAAATACGAGTAAAGATACTAAATAGGCCTCCCCTTGGAGGGTTTTGCCAGTAATTGCCATGCTTGGCAAGCGGGTTGAAAACCGCAGTTAGGCTTTGGTGGTGTTTTAAGAGGAACGCTGTTGCCCATTCCTCGACCACTAAGTTCCCTTAGTTGCCTCTTGCAAAACCTACAGGAAAGGTAGGGATGGCCCATTCTATGCCTAGACCATACGGCATAGAATACAGCATATATACAAATTACAGAAGAAAAAGTCGCTAAGTATGCCCACTACTAAATAAGAATCTGTATCTGTAAGTGTCTGTCTAAGTGTTCGTTTGTTTCAACATCCAGCAAGAACTACTATTCAAATTGATTATGGTTTTCACAATTGTATTCCTGAAAATCAAACTTAAATCATCCATCCAATATAATGTCAATGAAAATTTTGTACTGCACTCACGAAATTAAATTAAGAAATAACGTTAATATCTGTTTGTTATAGTTTGCATTGTTACTCTAATAAGCATAGAACAATCATAGATATCAGAACAATCTAGAAACCTAAAATGGAAATATTATGTCGCTAGTATTGCAAGTCGAGAGTACGAAACGTTTCAATTCCAGTATCAATCTACTGGAATTTATTTCAAAAGTAATCCCACAGGTGTACATTCCATCTTGATATACCATCTAAAAGTAGTATATTTAGTTTTCTTACTTCTGAAATCCACGTGTGCGATGTAGCGGGCAAAAAGCTAGTAAAAAATGCAGGTATTTTAAAACTCACCAACGTAACCATCCCTATAAAAACAATCCCTTCATAAAGGGTACGGCCACACATCGAGGACACATTACAGCACCCATGTTTAGAATTCATTGCATAGTTCATTAAATTCAACTGAGTTTTTGTTGATAATTTCCATAAATTGTTAACACAATCATATGTCAAAGGGAAACAAAGCCGTTAATAAGTAGATAGAGAATGCCAGATTAGTAATTTGTGGTTTAATGTAACCAAACTAATTTATCTAAGTATTATTTTTTTTTTTTTACAACAGGGGGCAAACGAGCATGCGGCTCACCTGATGGTAAATGACTACCGCCGCCCATGATCACCCACAACACCAGCGGCATTGCAGGTGTGATCTCATTAGATCTCTCATTTAATTGAAAATTCCTTTTCATACATCCATTTTATGCTTGTTAGCTCATTCTGATCCTTTGATTTATAACTCCTCAGCATTCTTTATTGCTCATAATAATAATTCCTTACCGTTCTTTACAATACCCCGTCTCGTATCCTGTTTGTTGGTAGCATTATGGACAACATCAACCCTTTGCCAGGAAAAAACTCCTAGTACCTAACCATTACCACAGAAAAAATACATATTGGTTTATCTACATCACTACACCGCAAAACGAAGAAAGAGAATCCCATTTACTATCTTAATCTATGCCGAACAATAGGCCACATAAGCACGTTCTTACCATTGCTATATATATATATATATATATATATATATATATATATATATATAACATACTACTTTATAATAAAAACGTCAAACCTCTCTTAAATCTAATTTATGTAGCTACTGAAGGGTTTTGTCCTTATGCGCTAAATTCTCAATTTAAAAAAGTGACAATTCATTTCATTAGATAAAATAGGTTTGTTTAATAGTTTTAACGTTTTAGTTTTTTTAATAAAGGGGTAAGATTCTTACCCACAGATTAAGGATACGTTCTTACCGATACGTGATAATACCTATATTATACACTAAAATCTTTGATGTGGCTTACTCAGCGATAAATTTACATGCTCTCCGAAATATGAAAATGATTCGATCCAAAACTAATTTTAATATCTTTTTTATTGTTGTTATTGTCAGGAAGGCAAACAAGCACACGGTCCACCTGATGGAAAGCAGCTACCGTCGCCCATTAACACTTGCAAGAGAAGAATTGCTTGTGCATTGCCGGTATTTTAAATGTGTGTAGGCACGTTTTTTTTTTTTTTTAAATACTCCATATTGTATTGTAAGGAGAAAACTGAACAAGGGAATTCAACTCTGATGTACAATGATGTAACAGTGGTAATGTGCCATACACCCAAAAAATATGGTCAAAATCTAGCTCTATGGTAATAGGTATGGTGATAATGGGTAGGGAGGGTGATGATGGCATCAGGTCGTATATTTCTTGGAATATACTCCATTGGAATTGTAAAGGTTCGTTGGATAGATCAAGTAAAAATAGAAAAGCATAAAAATAGATGTACTTTTTGTTTTAAAAAGTAAAACAAACCAAACCTCAATAGTATTATACATTTCCGGGTTATTATATTAATAAGTGGACTAACTAAAATATACGATGCTCTACTTAAATAATAATCATTATAAATTAATTAAATGACACTTAAACAAAATTTATATTACACAAAATTCGTCTACAATTTTCACCATTGTTAATAAATAAAATGTTTGGTCCTTTTATTGTTTCTGTTTATTGTTTGCAGTACCTATCTATAAAAATAAGAATACCCGCATACATTAAAAATTTGTTTCACAAAATATAAAACAACTTTAGGACCTTTATTTTGCATTTTACAACTCGTATATATTTCCATAAATATAAATAAGTTAATAGGCATACATATCATGTTTATTTTCTATAGATGTTAATACATTATGTACTCATATAATGAGACTGATAAAAATGGCTAATCTCTAAAACTAACAATCGGATTTGAAAAATTCTTTTTACATTTGATAGCTTATTTCCTAATGAAGCAAATAACTAATGAAGAAAAGCTACTACATCACATACGACTACGAGCGAAGTCGCAGTATACAGGTAGTAACATTATAAGTGCCTGTTTTAAAAGTTATAAGAAAAACCAGAAGAAAGGGTAGGAGATTGTTGGTAACAGATCAACAATCTCCTACCCTTTCCAATGTACCACAAGCAATATTTATAATAATTAAATTGTTTTCCACAAACAACCGACTTCAAATGTGATAGAACCACTTAGTTTAACTTAAAAACTAAACAAAATATCTATGAGACAAACCTGTACGTACAATCTTTCAAAAAGTCCAAATCAATTTAAAACTGATGATACAAATGATGAGTCATAAAGTAACGAACAAAAAATACAACTGAATTGAAAACCTTCTTTTTGAAGTCAGTTAAAAATAAACCGAAAATAGTTTTAATGTTAAAGCCAACAAAAAACTCATTAAATCTTGATTAGACAATGTAATCTTTTAAAGAAATCAATAAAGAATATGTATCTATTTATCTACATTAAGAAAACAACTAGTTTTGTAGCAATATCAAAATTAATTTAATATTAACGAATTCTAATTGAGAGCTTTTTATACGGTAAAAATGCACAAGCTAAATTTGAAACCATTCCATTTAGCGCGATCTATGCGAAAGTCGATGCATACCGACTGAGTTTAATCCTTTGTACTTATGTAGATTACTGAATATTGTAAAATAAAAGGCCGGTTTAATTTCAGAGAAAATTACCATCATTATTAACTTACGCACCTAAATGGAATTTAATATATAATATTAATTAAAAAATAGAATAAGCTAATTACATTATTATAATGAAGCGTTCTGATTTTCCTTACTTAAAAAAAATAGTCCTTATGTTTTTTTAAACAACTGGAATAGTAAAGATTAAGAAATTTAATAATTAATTGTTTTTATACATACAAATAAACACAATCGATTATTAAATTTCCTATCCGCCTCTCTGTCAATCCGACTGTCAATCGTAAGCCTGTCAACTACTGGCAAAAAGGGTAAGCTTAAGTTCAGCAGTGGACAGTTAAAGGCTGATGTAATGTAAAACTTTGTATAGCAGAAATGCCTACTGTATGACAATAAGCATTGATAATAAATTAACGGACGAAATAAAAACACTACCCTTGAATATATTTAAAAAGAAACTAAAAAGGTGGCTGATAGAAAAATGTTTTTACTCGGTTAATGAATATTTTTAATATTTTAAAGCTTAAATATGTGACTCAGTTAATGTAATTTGTAAAATGATTGTAATTTGTAACCTGTATAATTTATTATTCATACATAAATATATTGACATTTATATAATATGACAATTTAAGTAGAATAGTATTAGCATAGTATAGTTAAATAAATTTTGTATGCCAGATTCTAGTGAAAAATGTGAACAATATTTAAATATTATATAACATCTTTTATACCATTTTTCAAACAAAATAAAGCTATTTGTATTAATGATTTTCTTGTTAATAATTTACAAAAAAAAAAAACAAATAACCTACTTTCTACTAACACAATATATTTAGATATTCATTTTATTATAAACATATACATAGTTTAACAATATCTAAACAACAAATGACAATATACAAAATTATTGTTTCAAACCATTAAAACAGGTTTAAAAATTCCATAAATAAAGTAGAATAAATAAATAATAAATCAAATAGGGGGGACGTATTTACAGAGATAGCTTTAAAACGTGTTCGCAAGTAATCCCGCCCCGGAATCGGGAATAAGCCCCAAGGATTTCCTTATCCGCGGTATTGGTGAAAATTTATAGAGTGTGAAAATTTCTCTCTCGATGGA